GTCTTGGTGCAGAAGTGTCTGAAAGGCTGCCTGGACAACAATTCATCGACCAAGCAAGCAAGGAGATCTAGGAACAAGCAGCTTCGACGTTGATGGCAATAAGAAACTGTTACCGTTTTTCAACTTTTGGGGAAAAAAACTAGAGTACCACATCATCCCAGCCAATTTTACATGAATTTAAGAAAGCTGGGTGCCCGTTTCACCAAAGCATTTTACAAGAGGGACCTAATTCCAAGGAGCTTAAGGTAGAGTTTCATACCAAACCTGAATGATAGTTTTAAACATAATTAGAAAACCCATAAAATCCACAGCCCACTGCCTTCTTCTGCGTTGCTCCATGTCGAACCCTTTTGAATCCCCTGTTTTTGTTCCGTTCGTCATCGTTGCGGTTCAATTTTGAATTGGGACTCCTTGTTCCATTGGAGTTCTCCGGAACTCAACTAAGTTCCTTCCATGTTGCATTGCACAACATGCTCTTTGCATTGCATCCTTTTGCTGGGTGCCCACGATGATTTACAGCACCAAGGTATTTGTATGTATTTGCTGCAACATGTCCAAGTCCTAGCTCACTTAGCTTACCCCTCATGAGCTGCTTTTTTCAACTAAGCAGTGGGGGTGGGCCGTAACAAAAAGCAGCTACTATAGTAGTTTAAAGAAGTTACCGGTAGGATTGAATTTGTTCCTAGACTTTTTCCCCAAATTGTCCGCTCTCCTCTTCTCCGCCTCTCCTCCTCCCACCCCCCCACCACCAACCAACAACCAGCCAACAACCAACCAACAACCAACCACTACCAACCAACCAACAACCAACAACCAACCACCAACCACCAACTACCAACCACCAACCAACCAACCACCAACCACCACCAACCAACCACCACCAACCACCAACCACCAATTGTCCGCTCCTGTGTCTGGTGAAGTTGTTAACATGTGGGGTTATCCGGTCCTATAATCCTAGACTTTTTGGAAACTGGGCTACGTTTCTCTTCTGTCATGTGGCATGAACACCTCTATTTGGATGGAAACGCACCCTGCTCACAATCCTGAAAAGCACGAGAGTGCAAACAAAGATACCTGCAGTTGCAGGGTGGCGGAGCGCTTCTGAAGGAATACTCCTCGCGCTCGCAGCGTCCGAAAGGCTGCCTGTCAAGCGAAAAACAGAGATCTTTGATACACACAAATCGAACAATATCATACTGTAGCTAATTCTATAATATTATATATATAAGGCCTCAAGCAGGGTCTTGTAGCACCAAGAGTTTCCGAGACTAAGACCCATAAGTATTTCATATAGTGGTTATAGGTTGGAGGCCTTTGCTTCTAGGTTGAAGGCCGTATGTTGGAGGCCATTGATAGTAGGTTGCCCTAGTACCGTCCTTGCTCCTAGTAGCGATGCCAGGAGCCCCTAGTAGCTTCTTGTTACTAGTTCAATCTCTTCTTTTCAAGTTCGCTTAGTTCGCTTCGCCTGGAAATCCATCGCAGCACCGCGCATCTGCACAAAATATCTGCGACCTACAAAGCCCCGCCAGCAACGCTGGATCGTTTGCACTTGCCTGCACTGGGTACATGCCAGATGCCCCAAAGTTTGATGCCACAATTGAGACAATAAATGTTTACATGCAGGCCAAATCTGTCTCACACATACACAAACTCGGAAAGCATGGGGCAGCACAAATGACGACTGCTGAAAATCACTCAAAGTACTTGGTCAGCTTGATGAGCATGCAAACGGTCTTAGACACAAGCGAGCTGTCACCCTGCCGCAGCGCTGGTGATCAGCGACCAACAAGAATTGAACATGCTGCCTCTTTGCAGACTCCACAATCATCTGTTCCATCCTTCTTTCCAGTTCCTCCTGATGGACCATGGTACCAAATCCCAACTCAGCCAAGAACCGACAAATAACACCTCACTGACTGTCACAACCTCGCAAAGAAACAGAAACGCATACAGCACACTGCGGAAAGTGCACATAGTGCAAGTGCTTATTGAAGCTTATTGAAATGGGCAACATCTAAGTCTAGGTTTATGACCCGTGGACAAAGTCCACAGTAATTATATATAATGCATGCAATCATGAAATTTAAGCTTCTCAAAGACATCAGAACCGACAAAAATGCTTGTCCTTCAGAAAGACCCGGGACTGGCCAAGCTGCCTCAGAAGATTGGCGCGCTGGGGGAGTCTGCAACGGTCCACCGAGTGTTTGTCCTGGACAGGTGAGGCTTTGTCAGGAAATAGAATCAGCGTCTACAGTTCTGTGGATGATATTCTGATAATTTGGTGATTTCCAGAAATGTACAAGCAATGTTTCGTTTTAGTACAGAACCATTTCTGCTAGGAGTACTATCATTGGTTGAGTGGGGATACACGAGTGCGGAGCTTTGGGTGGATCAAGCCGTGACCCATTTGATCACCTGTCAGTGCTCGGGATGGTCGAGCATTCCTCTACTGCGCAGCTCCGTTAATTCAAATCTCAAACAACAGTGTCCTGCGTATATATATATATTTATTGCAGCTGCGTCTGCTTGATTTCTCTTGGAAGGCAGGATGCTGTCAAATTTGTTTAGCCTTTGTTGCCTGTTTGCGTTGCTAACTGACAATGATCGAGATGACTTGACTGGAGCTTCTCCTTGCAATTGTGCAGTCACATTTTTCTGCTGGCTCCTTTTTGCAGGAGTGCTTGCAAGACTGCACGATAACATGGCCCAAGGTGCCAAAGTTTTTGTTGTTTTGCTGCCTCACCAAGTCGTTCTTCGACTTCGAGCACCAAGCGTTGGCAAAGACTCCTGTCAACAACATATTATGTTGGTGTCATGATGCATGACCAATCATCCTATCAAGCTGGTGGACCGCGGTCTCCTAAATCAATGCATGATGCATGTATGTGTCATATTCTGCCATAATTATGTCGCTGTTGTGCAGTTTGTGGACCCATGTAAGACGTATCCCAGAACAGGTTCTATTGAAACAAAACACAATTAGCTTGTCGTAGTTTATTAAGGGGGACACCAGACACCATGTCCCCTGGATGATTCCATGTATGTCGTATACCTGTCTCATGTCTCCAACCGTTGAACCGTCTCCGACTGTCTCCTGTAGTCTGGGTCAGCTCCTGGCACCAAATGCGGTGATAGGATCCGGAAGCGAGCGAAGAACTCCTTGAAGGGTCTTCGCACTGCGTATCCGGCACGCCGTATTCCTAAGTATTGTCGTCTGGAAATTGACTCTGCTTACATAAACTAAAGTCTACAAGGTTCGCTAGTACCATATGATGCATGGTATCAGGCTCTGAGAGCACTTGGCAATGGACACGTTTTTAAGCTGAGGTGTCTATTGAACATCTTTTCAGGTCGCCCCAGCATCCACAAAAGCCATGAGCCATGGCAAACAAGGGGAGACGAAGGGAGACGCAAAATTCATCTCAGCCCAGCACCAGAGGAGCTATGGGAGACAAAGGTAGACCGTAGACCAAGGGAGACAAAGCAGAATCATCTCAGCCCAGCATCTAAAAAGCCAAGCAATCAAGAAGAGAAATGGAGACAAAGGAAACAAAAGGCCAATCACCTTGGCCCAGGTGTTTTTCTTATCAAGAATTGAACACCCCTCACAGCAAAGCTGTTTGGGGAATAGCTTTCTAACAAAGCAGCAATGGCAGCTATCTGCTGTGTTACAGTCTCACCAGTAATAATACATCCAGTTCCACCGAGAGACGAATGGACTCAAGCATGCCAGCGCAGCGCAATTGCCGCAAAACATCAATGGAATCCAGCTGATTTGGCTGCTTGTTGGCATTGGGCTTGATGCAGCGCACATAGCCTTTGCAAAGCTGCAAGAAACGTGTTAGTCATGGTGATGTCATGTATCCCAGCAATTGCCTAACATTGATAGAGCTTCAATAAATATAGAACAACAAGCATAACTCCATGCTAACTCCCTCATGTAAGTTGCTTTTGAAGTGGGTTTCTACCAATCGACATTGACATCGATCAAGCTTCTTGTCTCACATTATTAATCTAATCTAATTAATTTGTGCACCAGTCCTTGGAACATTCAAGAAAAAGGAAGAACTAAAGAGAATTATGCTCATTCAAAAACTGAAGGAGCCCGCCCAAAACATGACTCAGGATAACCCCCCAATTCCCCTTGGAGAGTTTTGACAATCTGTTGAACCTTTCACTCAGAGCTTCCCACAAACCGCTGCAGACCGTGCCCGGAGCCAAAGCCTTTTTGGGGGCAAGAAACAAGAACAGTACTGTTCCTGAATTCAGGAACATATCTAAAGGGTGAGCCAAAACAATATACTTGTGCGATGGCAAAAGAAACTTTTGGCAGCCCCTGCGGAACTAGCAAATAAGAAAGGCTGCCTCCAAATCATGCACAGTTTTAGCAGTTTGCAATGACCCAATCCAAGCGAGGAACGTGGATTGGTCTTGTTGAGGTCTTCAACCAAACGCTCCAGCTGCTCCCTGAACATCATGCCTTGGCAATCATCTTGGTTTTGCTCCAAAAGCATCACTTATATACTATTCACTGAATCTGCTGTGAGCAGGCGGGCAGCTTCGAGCGCAACGCTTCTGATACTTCAGCTGTGTTCCTTTATCACATTGCACTGCAATGCTAAAGGGTGTCTGTTCAACTACTGAGATAGTAGTGGCTGGGACACGACCAGTTCCCTTGCTCGTCCAAATAATACTGACAACAATAGTTACAACTTATAACAACCAAACCAAAACAAACCACAGAGTGCAGGCCATGCACATGCGACCATTTGAACATACTAACATACTCAATCATATCGAGGGATTCTTGATGTAGCCGAGGACTGTGCCGCTTCCTCAATTTCCAAAGTCATATCTTTTATTGAGGATGGAAGGTGTCTACAAAAGCCAGCTTTGCATAGAGCTCCTAGTCTTTCCCGTTCCACATCCAAGTCATTCAAACGTCTTCTCTATTCTTCTCTTGATTATCTTAATCATCTTGAACGTTCCGAGGCATCTTATCTTCCAAATTGATGCCGGAACCGAACTTCGTATCCCTTCATTCCATTTCGTGCTGAGACAAAAACTTTCTCATCCAAACGACTCACCGTGATGTTCTGCCGCTGGCGCTCCTCGGGTCGGCTCTGCCGCCTGTTGGTGGCCACCTTGGTCCGGGGTGCCGCTTCAGGAGGTGCAAAGCGCGGGTCAGTGAAGAGTCGGCGCATCAACTCCACCTGCCAGGGAAAAGCTTGGAATCGAAATGTCCGAATGTGGTGGTCAAATGTGGGCGCAACCCCCCCTTTGCATTCTTTTGTCAATTCTTGTTGCTACAGTGCGATGTCGATAATTGTTGAATATTGCTCACATGATGATCGCCCTTGTTCAGTCAACTTCCTCTTTTGCAAGGTTGTTGAGACAAACGCACCATCCAGACTGTTGAACATGACGTGAGTTCCACATGGTGGTTCCACTTCGTGCCCAGATAGTCACGTTTGTCGGCGAGTTCCTCAAATGCTCCCGCCGCGACAAGCTTTAGCTGCTTGGAACCCCCCCGCGACGAAGTTAAAACCACAACATGTTTACGCAGTCAATCCTTGATCCTTCTCGTGAAGGCCTTGGGGATGACTCGTATCAACTCAATCTTTGCAATTGCAGTAACTTGCTCGATCACAAAGTAAGACACATCTACCATCATCTACCTCACACCTCGCCTTGCCTTGCCCCCTCTCGCTGTAAAGGCAGCAAAACAGTCCCAGCAGTTAGACGATGACCACTTGATGAGGGTCACACCATTGGGAACCATGTCATTTACCAACAATGAAATGTATTAGGTCGGTTTTTAGGTGCCAGCAACTGCCACAGAAAACTGAAAGAACTACACACATCACATCTGATCGCTACTTTACAAGCGAGAAACAACACATTTACAAAACAATGCGGCAATGCGTGTCCATGGGCCTGCGAGTGTTTGAGCAGCGCAACCACATCCTGCAGCTGGTTCAACAGTCTCAATCGAGTCAACTGCAACGTCCAACAATAACTATGACATACATCAAACTATAAATGATGCATCTTGTTTCTGACTTATGGAAGTAAGTAGCATGACGACCACAAACAGTGGACAAATAGAAACATAGTAGGTCATTGATGAAATTGGACATGACATCGGAAACACTCGCAATTGTTGACGACTGCCAGAAAGAACAACTTACAGCAAACAATCTCACAAGTGTCGTCCCTGCAGTTCGAAGCGGTTAAATATCAGAAAACGACGTTATGCGGGTATGGTTTTTACGCGTTTTTGTGATTTGTGGTTTTCTGCGTTTTTTTTTAAATGTTAGTTGTTTTGAAGAACGTGTCTAGCAAAAATGTCGACTTGTAATCTATCAAATTTCTCATCAATCTGATTCAAACATACTAGTTCTCATTGATTCCCACACAGAAGTCCATCAACCATCATCTATCAGCAAGTCCACGACATCCCATCATACAACATCAGGTCATCACCTCTATGAGGGAGATCTGGTCTCCAAGACCTCCAATCTCAATCAGTCCTCAATCTCCAGCAACTGGGGCCTGGGCCTGGGCTTCTCTAGGGGGGGGGGCGCCAAAAAAAAAAAATGGGTTGTCCAATTCCAGGAGCAATTTATTTTTTTTTGGGCGCCCCCCACCTAGAGAAGCCCAGGCCCAGGCCCCACTTGCTGGAGATTGAGGACTCATTGTCAATTCCACGAGCTGGGAGTGGGCCAGGTGCTAGAGATAGTCAAGATTATTGATTTCATTATAGCGTGGTGGGCACATTGTGTTTCAAGATAATGATCTTCTCTCCATTTCATAAAGAATGTGGAGGGAGAAGGCCATTTCATAAAGAATGTGGAGGGAGAAGCCCAAAAAGTGCTACCTTTGAAACAATGAGAATGCTTATGGGCAAGGAAGGGTAGAGTTGGATCCAGAGGTTTTTTAAACAAGAAAAGTTGGTTTTGTTTAGGAAACAGGAGCACAAGAACATATCTAGACTATAACCATGGAAACTCTGACTAAACATGACAAAATCTAAGAAAAACACCACAAAAGCACGTAAAAACCACACCCGCATAACGCCGAGCTCTCTTAAATATATACAATATGGTTTCAAGCACTAAAAAACTTTCAACCCTGCTTCTAAAATTCTAAAGGTGATTTTGGACCATAAACATACTTGCTTGCTCACCTACAATGTCAACATACTGCCCATGTGTCCAAAAAAACAAGTCCTAGCATCTGTATATATATATATGCTGCAAGGCACTCTTGCCGTCATGCAAGATCTAGGCAGGCGTTGCGTACTCAGATGAGACAATAATAACTCTACGAACAAAAAACACATTACATTACTATGTATATATATATACTTGGGCACTCGTGCTGCTTCACGACAAAAGCTCTGCAGAGCTCCTTGGAAAGCTTGTCGGTGTTCTTCATGAGGAACGTTTCGGCACTATAAACAACTTCACCAGCATAGTGTGCCACTGCAAAATCGGTGTTGCCAAATCTGGAAGCTTTGTAAATCACCTGACACCAAAGGAGGAAGCAGCACTGCTCATACCGCCATGCAATCGCCATGCGAAAGCAAACTCTTGTCGCGCCCTACAAGAAACGCATGGATAATTACCGTCAAAGTCAGAGACTTGCATGGTGGGAGGAACTCTACAGCTGGCTTGGGTCTTCCCACATCCCTGAACAATCTGCCACTTGCTGCTAACATGAGATTAAGTTGTTCCACATGCTAATAGCCTTCGAACTTCTGAAGTTGTTCTGGATCTTCGAGAAAAGCGAAGCATCCGTTGCGGATGGCATGAGGCACTCCGAGTCCACCAAGCAAAAGAGACCTGACCAAAGCTGTCAGGTAAAAAGAGTTGCCATGTTTCTTTTGGATTTCCTTGGGCCTGTTGTGGATCCCCCCAATGATTTGACTTGGTCTGGAACCAGAAGGCACGGTTGTACCAAGTGTCGAGCTCAGGGAAATTCAGGGAACCACCGCGCAGCTTTTTCTGAAACCCAGTTGGCACAAACCCTGTGCCAAAGCCCGGGCAGGCGGTTAGCAAGTGTGTTGCGTAGGCAATAAAGTTGCTTCAATACATCTGAGCCCATCATTTCACTGTGGAGCAACATGGAGCAGCCAACCAAACTGGGTTCAAACCGATCCGATCAAGGAATGGAAGGTGTGCAACGTAGTGTGCGAGCATGTGGACATGTGCGGTCATGTGTGTACTGAGACTTGTGCACACAGAAGTAACTCAGGAGCGCTGAACTCAAATGTGACGCGTGATCAACACTCGTTTTTTGAGCATGTTGCACTTTGTTCTCTCGGCATGTGTGCTCCCAACAAGTTGCTCTAGCGATCGAAGTGAGGGTTGTTGCTTTTCTGGCCTCCATCGTCAGTTATGTTTCTGTCCATTCTAGCTGACATCAATCAATAAAATCCACTCACAGGACCTGAGTAGTTGCTGATTGGGTGAGTGACAAGCTTGCGAGTAGGTACTTACTGTAGTAGGCAAGGAAGCTACTACCGATTGGACAAAGGCTAGGGCTCAGGCTTCTCCAAGGTAACTCCCCCCGCCTGAGTGGGGAGCTGACTTGAAGAAGTCTTAGCCCTTAATGATTTGGCTCCTAGATGATTTTTGAAAACTTAACATCCAAACTTTAACATACTTTAACATGTTTCTTGAATATGTGAAGTTAAACAATCATGGACATTCATGGAAATACCAAACGGCCCTCGCATTGGCGACTGGGACAACCACATCTGCATCAGATGGGTTGCTACATCCCTCCATGCTGTTGCCAACTTGTAACTGTTTCTGTTCTTTTAGCCACTCGAACTACAGTCAAACTGACTGTACTGGCTGGGCGGGGGTACTCTGCTGGGCTCTGCTCTGCACGCGAACCAAGCACAAGAGGAATGGCATTTGCAAGTGGATGATCAGTCCAGCCGTTTGTTGTTCTACTAGGTACAGCGAGCGGCAATGAGCAACTTTGCCCCGCCCGTATCAGCTTCATGTTCTCTAAACGTCTGGCATGGCCTGACATTTGCTTGCAGCACAACAAAATTATCTACTGCCCATTCCGGTGCAAGCTGGCCCAACTGCTGATCAGGGAAGGATCATGAAGGCGAACATGAACATAAACATTAGCAAAAGGCACACACAAGTAGCAAACATGAAAACACAACTCAACTGGCTACTGCTCCTCTGCGGTACTGTTGCCTCAGAACAAAGCAAGTCAACAAAGCCCACCCAGCTCAGTGCCTAGTGGTCTCTTATCCAGCGAGTCAATAATGTGCTGATTGTCCTGGCTAGTTTCTGAAGGTACCTTCCCTTTTCTTGGGTTCAATTGTGGCCGAGCGGAGGACAACAAACAGGCAGCCAAGTTTCAGGAGGCATTTCCTTGTACTGAACTAAATAGTTTAAAAACACCATACCATACCCTTCATGTAAACAGTGCTAAGAAAGCAACAGTCTTCAAAAATTGTCGCCTGCCAAAGGCAAACTTTCTACTCAGTAGCCGATCCCTCGTTGTGACATGTTTTCTCAGTCTCAGCAAAGCTGCAATAAGTTGCTGGCTTGGGACTCCAACTAGCAAGCTATCCGTGGGCTTCTGTCAGCATGAAATGTCGAAGCATATCTGTTCGAGAATGGTGATATTACGTAGCTCACAGTGGATTCAAGCAGCATGCTTTGGCATCAATCAACAAACCCCTTACCATCCTAACTATTGATTCACCTGTGGATCAAAACGTGCAACCCTCCTTAAAGGGGGGGCTTCCCTGTGTTAACATACACTTGTCATCCGCAATAAACATATGCTCCTGGCATCTCGCGGCTAGTGTATTCAGAAGCTCACTCTGGCTCAAAGTCTGCAATCAGCAGTTACTATCTTCCACACGGAACATGATCAAACTCTCAGCAAAGCCATGTGCCAACTGTGCCCAGTCTTGTCCTGCCAAGTGATGTGACTCCAGTTGATGCCTTCAGAGGTGTAAAGCCTCTGTTCCAAACTAAACCTGAGACATTTCCAGGCAACGTTCGTGAAGGCATGACTTTGCTATGTGTTGCCAACCTCGTGTTAACCGCTGTTGAAGACAGTTAATGACACCTAGTCCTAAGTCGTCCTACGAAGGCTGTGTTTCAATGCACTTTGTTACTAGAAGCGTGGCACTTGTTACTACTAGTAAGGCACTTGTTACTACTAGTAAGGCACTTTGTTACTACTAGCGAGGCACTTGTTACTACTAGCTTCCTACCTTCATTTGCATTGAACCATCTCCCTTTCATCTGGTCACAGCAGCACCTTTGACCGAACGTTCAATGGACGCAAACCGAGATGCATATGCATATTGAAGTGCTGCTGCAGCTTCTCATTTGCAAAGTTGATGCAGAGTTGTTCAAAGGAATTCCTTGAGTTGAAAGAGAGAAGAAGGATGCATTTCTCGTGTTGCCACTCAAGTGCCCGCACTTCTTACTGACAGCGACATGCTTGATGACCCGTCTGGCTACGTCGGGTGTTTGATGGTATATCAAATTTATTACAACAATTAATTGAAAGACTTAGTTTGTACAACATGCGGACACAGACGCCACTCGAAGACTTCGAAGCCGTAGATGTCAAGCAATCCAATTTTGCGGACGTCTCGCTGAGTTCGGTGGCTGATACCTTTGTCAACTGCTCAAATCCATATGCCCAACTGCACTAACTAGCCCTCTTCTTGCTGATGGCTTCAGACCTCATGACCTCAGGTCCTTACTGTTACTAATGCCTGCTGTATGACCGAATCAAAATGAACATGCCGCTCTGCTTACCCTTCTCCACACGCATTCAGAGACCTGGGTGCTTTCATTGATCCTCCACACCAGCCAGTCGAAAAGTCGAGCATAGATTACTTTGGCCATAGAATGCCGTATGAAAGATGCTTGGGAAGCGTCATTCCTCAGCTTGAAGGAGTGGCAAACGCAGCAAAGTAACCTTAACAATGAAACATGATTGTGCCCCACATAGCCTGCAGAACTGACGGTTTGATTTCATGGTCAATGGTGCCAAAAACAGTGGGGAACAACGTCCACGGATGTGGGGCAGCACGAGAAATGCATGTCTAGACCATAATCAGTTGTTCCAAGAAGCTACTAGGGGCTCCTGGCATCGCTACTAGGAGCAAGGCCGCTACTAGGGGCTCCTGGCCTTACTTTAGGAACAAGAAGCTACTAGGGGTTCCTGGTTGCCAAGTACAGGGCCTAGCAGCGGTCTGTGGATCGTCTTTTCGGTCAACGGGTCCTGGCCAAGGACGGAGGTTGCAACACTCGATTCCAAGGGATGCCTGTTTGGTAGTATTCTGCCTTGGGTCCTCGGTCGCCAGTGTTGGTACCCACACTCTGACACTTGTATTCAGTGACTCAATTACCACGATGGGAAGGATGGCGATGGAACAGCAAGGCGAAAAGGTCCGGTGACTGAATTGTTGAAAAAATGTTTCACAAGCGGCGGAAAGCTGCGGTGGGAAACCTGTTTGTGGGAGGGTGTCATGAAGAAAAACCATGAAGCCAACGAACAGCAGCAGGGTGGACCATTGGAGTCAATGTGTTGAAAGCAGGTACGTGAACCTGGCGTCCCAGGTGCATATCCTCTCCAATCAACAGTAGCTTCGTTGGCCACAGACTGATGAAAGGAGCTGTGGCCCCCTGCATGTGAAAGGTGGTGGAAAAACTGTGAAAGAAGTGGCGGTGGAAAACCCTTTGTCCAGGGGTGGACACACACAGATCGCCGTCGTCGGCGCTTTTTTCAAAAAACGGTGGCACGTGTGGTGGTTGTGTCCTTTTTGGACATAGAGCCTCACTAACTCGGCAGCAGCAGCTTCAGCGCTGGAGGGTGGAAATGTGTATTTTCGAATGGTGTGGAGCCTTGATTGGAGGCCTGATAGAGCCAAGCGCTGGCTCCCGGCGGTTGTGGAATCCCTGATTTTCCAGGGTTGGGAAGGTTGCATGTAGGTGATGGTGCGTTGTGGGAGGTCGATGTTGAAACCGAGGAGATGGAAATCCTCCACCGGTTCGAGTTCCACTGGGTCGCCAAAGAAGTTGTGGTGGATGAGGGTTTGAATGGCTGGATGGTGGAGGAAATGTTCGTTGTGGACAATGAAACGGTTGTCGACATATCGATAGTACGTGAAGTGTAGGTCAGTGTGTTGAAGTAGGTTGTTGTGGATCTGATGCCAGGAATGTTCTATGAGGGTGATGGCGACATTGCAAAGGGCTGGAGAGAGCTGGGATCCAA